TGTTATGGACAACGAACACAGGTGCATTTTATTGATGGCATTTTGAATGCACAGAGATACTGTGACGAGATCCTGAGGTCCATTGTTGTGCCATTCATCCACGACCATCACCTCATGTTGCAGCATGATAATGCACGGCCCCATGTTGCAAGGATCTGTACACAATTCCTGGAAGCTGAAAACATCCCAGTTCTTGCATGACCAGCATACTCACCGGACATGTCACCCATTGAGCATGTTTGGGATGCTCTGGATCGGCGTATACAACAGCGTGTTCCAGTTCCTGCCAATATCAAGCAACTTCGCACAGCCATTGAAGATGAGTGGACCAACATTCCACAGGCCACAATCAACAACCTGATCAACTCTATGCAAAGGAGATGTGTTGCACTGCGTGAGGCAAATGGGGGTCACACCAGATACTGACTGGTTTCCAGACCCCCCAATACAGTAAAACTGCACATTTTAGAGTGGCCTTTTATTGTGGCCAGCCTAAGGCACACCTGTGCAATAATCATGCTGTCTAATCAGCATCTTGATATGTCACACCTGTGAGGTGGATGGATTATCTCGGCAAAGGAGAAGTGCTCACTAACACAGATTTAGACAGATTTGTGAACAATATTTGAGAGAAATAGGCCTTTTGTGTACATAGAAAAAGTCTTAGATCTTTGAGTTCAGCTCGTGAAAGATGGGGGCAAAAACAAAAGTGTTGCGTTTATAATTTTGCTCAGTGTATTTCTCTGCTATAAATGTACTGAGGAGTAACAATATTTACATTGTTATTGTAATCTCTTATCTTTTTTTCTCACCCCTCTCTTATGTAGGGTTGTTCATTACAGTGAAATGGCAAACACTGAATATTAATACAGCACAGCTGTCGTGTTACCTTACAAATAAATGTGCTAACCATATTCTTCTTATGAAGGCTTGTTAATTTACAAAGGTTTCAATTGATTGAACACTTTATAGACGAATTGAATTTATGTCATAATAAATGAACTTTACATGAACTGAATCAAGACTGAACGGTCTTTAACTGAACAATGATATTTGGCAGCGGCCAGTGCAAATATAACAGTCTAATGCTAACTTGCACAAACAGCATACCTTGTAGTACATTATAAAACAAGTATTCATTCATGCCGGACAATAAAGCCCTCCCTTCACCTACCCGATAAACACTTTACTATTAATTACCTGTGAGGCACTTTATTTCCACTTTTTGAAAATTTCATTCATTTTTATTCAAAATAAACGCCTTTTTGATCTGCTATACGATGAGCAAAGGAAAAGAACAAGTTTGCCAGAAGGTGGATTCAAACTTGGGTCAATTGCGTCGAAAGTGACTGTTTCGCATTTTACCCCCTACACCACTGATGCTATTAGTAAACAGGCGTCTTTTGCAATGTTGTTTATCCAACCAGATATTGGTGGGCGGAGTTAATGTAAATAGCTTCTGCCAACAAGACAGGCTATTTGCACTTGGTTTTAGAGCCTTTTTACAGTGGAACTGAATTCTGTAAGCATCATTGAAATATTATGTTGTTATCCTGTGTATCACTGTACTGCTGCTTTGAAACAATCTGTATTGTATGAAGCGCTATAGAAACAAAGGCGACTTCATTTGACTTGATCAGAAATGTGCCGTAGAGATTAAAGTAAAATTTGTAATGATATTGTTTTTAGATTCACAACAATAGTTTGTAGTTTACAGTAACATGTATTTATGTACTTATAAACTGGGCTCAAATTGAGGGGGGATGCAGGGGGGTGGCATCCCCCTTGTTGAAAAAAAAAGAGAAAAAGCATCCCCTCTGTAAACCACCATCCCCCTTTATGGTGGTTTACAGAGTGTTATGGAAAATTTATCATGCAAATGAAATTCTCTGCGTATAATCATTTACGAACTAAATAAAGGCGATTGTAAATTAGAATACAAGTACTGCGCATAAGCTCAAGCAAGTTTTTGTCATTTTTCGCGCAAAATGGTTCAAGCTCAACTTCTGACGTTCTTTAAACTCAAATCAAGAAAATACCCAACTGTTGTCTTCTATTTAAAGACATTCCCTGACATGACATTATTGTACTGTATATCATATGTGACTGTGAGGGACGGGGAGAGAGAGAGAGAGAGAGATGACATTATCGAGTATATATACTGACTTCTCAAAATACTTGAGAGTCTAAAGCAGGGCTGTCCAAACTCGGTCCTGGAGGGCCGGTGTCCTGCAGAGTTTAGCTCCAACCCTAATTAAACACACCTGAACCAGCTAATCAAGCTCTTACTAGGCATAGAAACTTCCAGTCAGGTGTGTTGAGGCAAGTTGGAGCTAAACTCTGTAGGACACCAAAAGCATTCACTGCGTGATTAAGCTCACTAGAATGCACTTAGAATACCCTTATAAGTAATAGAAAAAGAAAAAACTGTACGAGTATTTATTGATTGATTTATTTAATATTTATCACACAAGCAAGAGTATCTTCCTGAATAGCATGCATGCTGGATCTCAAATGTGCTATTCTTTTTATACAATAGTGCAGATCACTGCATTCCTGAATGAATCTATTTTTGAATGAATCTAGTGAGCCAATGATGCAATGATCCATTTATAAAGATAGTCACTTGCTTCATTTCTAATTGCTTCGATTTGAACAAATACTTTGATTTGAATGATTCAATTAATCATTTATTAAAACAGGGACTTGCTATGGTTTTATTATCATATTTATTTATCCATGAAAGGCTTTAATCAACAAATGTCAATCAAAAAAAAAATCCCTTTCAGGCCCCAGAAGGAAGTGTTTACACAATGATTACAAAATGTATCTAATTTTTAAAGTTAGCTACAGGACCCGCGGCCCCACCAAAGAAATACTTGACCACACCATCCCCCCTGATTTTTTTATTTTATTTTTTACAATTCAACCACTGCTTATAAAAGTGTTACAGTTCACTCAATTTTGAAACATGATGAAAACGAGATGAAACATCACATGGAGTGTGTTGCATTATGGGAAACAGTATCTCATGCAGTGTCTTCAGATGCATGCATCAGATTTCAGCAAATGTAGTAAGTAATGCAGAAACTTCATGTGTACAGAAAATTCACATTCTATTCACAGTATACACATAGCATACTGCTATATAGCAGGAGTTGTATGGTAGTATGCCATTCCCAACATTTTCAGTGTACTTGAGTTACATTTAGCAGATTCAGGCACATATAGTAGGTCATCTAAGTATTCCATGCAAACTGAAAATTTGCATACTATGTACAATATACAGTGGGTACAGAAAGTATTCAGACCCCCTTAAATTTTTCACTCTTTGTTATATTGCAGCCATTTGCTAAAATCATTTAAGTTATTTTTTTTCCTCAATGTACACACAGCACCCCATATTGACAGAAAAACACAGAATTGTTGACATTTTTGCAGATTTATTAAAGAAAAACTGAAATATCACATGGTCCTAAGTATTCAGAACCTTTGCTGTGACTCTCATATATATTTAACTCAGGTGCTGTCCATTTCTTCTGATCATCCT